CTCTCACACCTCCTAGCATCGCAGATGCGAGCTAGCACTCGCAAATGCGAGGCTCGCATTTGCGAACAGACCCTTGCAAATGCGAGGTCTGCAACACTAGCAATCCTAGTCTTGCCAAAATAGCCCGAAACTCACCTGAGCCCCTCGGGCTCCAATCCAAACATCAACATAAATACAATAACATCGTACAAACTCGCCCGTAAACTAAATCATCAAAATAATATCTAAAATTAAGAATCAAACACCAAAACCCAAAGAACTTCAAAGTGCATACTTTAAATTTCCAACTTTTCACATAAAGCACCGAAACGACCTCGGGTCACCTGGTACACCAACAAAATATGCGTAGAAGTCTAAAATCATCATTCGAACCTACCAAAATTGTCAAAATACCGATCTAAGGACGTTTACCAAAAATATTGACTGTGGTCAACTCTAGCTATTTTCAAGTTTAAAAATCAAGTTTGTTTTAAAAAATCACATTTAAGCTTTCTGTAAATTAACACGGATAACGCACGCAAGTCATAAATCATCAAATAGTGTTATGAAAGGTCTCCAATTATAAAATGGATCGCTAGTACTCAAAATAACTTATCGGGTCATTACAGTGTAGAAGAATAGTTAGAGAATAAGAATCCAAATGGCATTGGCTTTCAGCAGGATAAGAACTACACTATAAGCAAATAAAAATGACCCCAGAAGGTAGCAAATAATGATAGCGATTCATAGAACAGGGCAGATGATCCAAATATTGTGCAGTGAACCAGTGAGTTTTGTAAGTGACCGTGAGAATAATGTGTGAATGTCTGCCGATAGAAGGAAAAACGGAGGGGTTTTAGAGTGAATTAGGCCGGTAAATATATATGAAAAATAAATAAATCACATGCAATCAACATAGGGTAAATTGGCCGGAACCCTAATTCACACAAATCACTCAAATATAGACTAAAGAATATAAAATTTGAACCGCGAATTGAAGTATCAAGAAAGGAGAATTGGATTTTCCTTCTATTAAAATATCTGAAGATCCTTTCCTTCTCGAAACACCATGAATCTATCTCGAATAGAAGCTATGTTCATAAATCTCAGCTATAATTACCATAAGCAAACGAATATTAGAGAATGTGAGCCAAAACGGCAAGAGGTTATGGGATTTGAGCAAGAAAGGAAAGAAAAGGAAGATCTTTAGAAATTGGGGGTTAGGTTCTGTGAGAGGGGGAGGGGTTAGGGTTTTAGGGCTATTACTTAAGAAGGGAGGAGGAATTGGGGCTGTTTGATCAAGGAAATTGGACGACTGGGATCTTTAGAGAGGAAAGTGGGTTGGTCAAACGGGTCTTGGGTAGGTCAAATGGGTCCAACAGGCTGCTGGATTTGAGATTTTGATTTTGGGCTCTTTTATTTGCAAAATCAACCTTTTGATGTGTAGTTGGCCTTTATTTGGGCTAAACCTAAAAGGATATGCAATTAAATTGTACTTAACTTATAAAATAATAAATAAGGGTACAAAGTACTATTTTATGAAATAAAATAATACCAATACACAGAACTAGGATATAAAAAATATTATTTGGACAAGAAAAGCAGTAAAAATATGCAATTAATTAAAAAAATAGGATATCATTATCAATAATGCAAAGAATAATATAAATTATGGTAAAATTATAAAAATACTATTTAAAATACTATAATATNCCATAAACCACGGGAGGCGTGGTCGGCACCCGGTGCCTTACTTGACCTCGAGCGTACCAACTGTAACTCGTATAACATGAACATACAACAACAATTTGGGCTGACGAGGCCAATCTGCAACACAAGAAATACTAACATAGGCCGACAAGGCCACCATGCTGACATACTGAAAATACAGGACACGTCTACAAGCCTCTAAAGAGAGCATAATTGTACTGTTGTTGGGACAGGGCCACAACCTACTACTATCTGAATATACAACAAAAAACTCTAAACCTTGTAATTGCAGATGATTTAGAGCATATCAATCAAACTGCACACCGGCACTCCTATAGCAAAGGCCTATCTCTCTGACCCAGGACCCGTAGGCATGAAATGCACTGCCCCCTAATAAAAGGGGCGTCAGTACGAAATAATGTACCGAGCATGTAAGGCAACTAAATAACTAAAACTAAAACTGAATTGATGTACATAATATACTGAATGTAATCTGAGGATTCAATGATAATATGAAAACATTTACTTGTCTTTGACTCATATCATATAAGTAATACAGAAATAAACTATTTGTCCTCATATAGGGCTCGGTGTGAATATGTATAGCCCCGTAGGCAACTATATAGCCCCGTAGGAAAATGTTTAACCCGAAGGCATCTGTCTAGCCTCGAAGGCATGGCATGCATCTATCTAGCCCCGTAGGCGTATAGTAATACAGAAAATGACACACATATACTCTCTATTTCTCAAATAGGTATGGAACAATGCTAAACTGGATAGGAATTCCCAACAAGGGATAGCCACGTCACGAGCAAGAAAGAATAACACAACATGGGATCTTTACGAATGACTTTTCTTGGGTATATTATGTTTGAAACTTACTTAACTATGGATTCATGCCATCAAAAGAAGAGAAATAGCCTTTACATACCTTGTGAAATAATCTTCGCAACAACCATGATAAGCTCAACTTACCGCACTTTAATCTACAACTATGATAACGACGTTATCATCACACTACAAATAGTACTATTGTCGTATTTCAAACAATAAACTTATTTATAAAAGAACGGGCAGAATTTTCCATGTGTCTTCCACATTCCTAAAGTTCATAATAGTCACAATAACAACCCAAACAACCAGCAATGCTATAACAAGCTTGTAACCCAAAATAAAGATACAACAAGCGGCAAGCTCAATTTATGACTAATAAAGCTATACATTCAACCCTTTCTTCTTTCAAATATATGTCAACAACAACAACAACACACTTAGTTTATCCCATAAATTTCCAGCCATAAAATACCACAAGAAATTTCTCATAATAGTTCAACAAGTAACAACAACACAGCTATGATTTGCGACTTTTATTTTACGGGTTTTCAACCGTACAAGCTAGCTATGACTTCTACAAGTTAAAATACATGTAGAAGAAAAATGTTATTACCTTAAACCACCATATCAACTCCAAATATGCGGTTACTTTACTTTGAAAAGGTTTCAAAATCAACTACAAGAAGAAGAACAACAAGCACCACGAGATTCCCGAGTTAGATTCACGTTGTTTGCCTTGGTTTTTGATATTGGATCATTTGAATACTTTTATAGAGGGTTTCTAAGTGTTTAGTATCTAGAAAAACTGAAAAATGATATTAAAATAAGAAGCTCCCGAATATATACACTTTTAGAAGTTTACACCGCCTCAAGTGGGTCCCAAAAGGGCTGTCTGCGCAGTCTCGCGAAATGCAAATAACTCTCTATCCTGACATCGTATAAACAAATGGTTTAATGCGTTATAAACTAGACTCATATACCTTAAATATGGTGGGTGGATCACCCCATAAATCCAAGTATGTTGGGATAAAGAATTATTGACAATCATCCCTACATTTCAGTAAACTTATGAACGTAAGCTGCGATTGTCACGACCCAAAATCCAACAAGTCGTGATGGCACCTAAACCCAACCCGATAGGTAAGCCAATTAATAACTATCCAGTTCCAATTGATATTTAATAAGAAATTATCTGAATCTTATACATTTTCCAAATACTGGTAATACAAATCATGAGCTTCTAAGAATAGAGTTTACAAAGCTAAAATGAAGTAAATACATCATCTGTTTGAAAAGTACATAAACAGAGTTTTATAGATCTAAGGCTATCATGAACAAGAAGCAGCTACAACTGGAATGCAGGTACATCTTCAATTCCGTCTCCCATCGATCACAGCAACATCAGCAGTCAATATCTGCACGCAAGGTGCAGAAGTGTAGTATGAGTACAACCGACTCCATGTACTCAATAAGTAACAAACCTAATCTTAGGTTGAAAGTAGTGACGAGCTAGAACAAAGGCCGGGTCCAACACCAATATTCCACAATAGTTCATAACAGCATAGTACAAGTAATAAAAGAGGTATCTCAGAAATAAAATGCTCAGTTCATTCACAGTTCCAGAAAATAGGCATTGCTTTTCAAGTATCTCAGTGAAAACCCAAATCTTTTACCAAAGATGCCAAAATACGAGTAAGTTTGAAAACTGTGATTTCTCCCAAAACTCCTTTCAATAATAAGTAAGATGTTTCATTTTCAGATAGCATGAGAAAAGTAGCAGAAGGAAATGCATCTCTATGCATGTATCTCAAGTACGCATGTCAAATGTAATGCATCTCAATGATGAGCTCATGTACTCACACTCTAAGAGTACTTAATCTCAC